TACACTAATCATACCGCAGATGCTGCTGGGCTGTTCAGAACTTGGCGTTCAGTTTTTAATCAGGAGTATGAAAGTTCATGCAGCAAACACTCTTGTTTGCCTGTTTCTTAAAGGAAGGATTCCATGGTGGCAAGGTCAAATGTGATCACTAAGGTTGTCATGGCAACTGTATATTGATTCATTAAATGTCAGAGTTTGTTCTGAAGCCTCTCCAAAGCAGGATATTGAAGTACCATAATTGTGTTTCTCTGCTCTTCGACCTTAGTATTTTGTGTCATGGCTAACTGATTCTGAATGCAAAGAAAACTGATGCACACTCACATGTCAGTTATGCAAGGACAAAAAGAAAAAGGAAAGGGAAGGAAGACCAGAGAAAAAACAAAAATAACTAAGAAAGACTGAAGGATGCACAATGCACACATCAGAGATAAAAGAGAAAAAAAGGGGTAAAACGATGTTCTCATGTATACTATGGTGTACTGAGTCAATAAATTCACCTTAAAAAGGTTTGACACTAAATGTGCTCATTCCCAATCTGACCTGAAACCAGTGCTGCCAGGACATGGTGAATCCATAATCCCCAAAGCTGGCTATGGAAAGCGTGAGACAAATATACGTTCCTTTAAGTTGGTGGCAGTAGAAATTCTTCTGTAGAAAAGCTACAGGCTAAAGGGATAAGTGTATAGAACCATAGAATAACAGAATATAGACTCACCGAATAGTTTGGATTGGAAGGGACCTTAGAGATTATCTAGTTGCAATCCCTCCCGCCATGAGCAGGGACAACTTCTACTAGACCAGGTTGTTCAGAGCCCCATCCAACCTGGCCTTGAACAGCTCCAGGGATGGGGAGTTCACAGCTTCTCTGAGCAACCTGTTCCACCACCCTCACAGTAAAAAATTTCTGTCACTGTCTCGCCACCCTCACAGTAAAAAATTTCTTCCTAATGTCTGGTCGAGGGAGGTCCCTGCCTCTGTACAACTCTCTTTACTTCATCTGGTGAAATGTGAACATTATTGATGAACAGGAGACTGTGTGAGCTGTTAGCCTGTCCATGAGAGCAAGCACCATGAGGTCTTGTGTCTGCTTTGCTTGCCCTGTGTCCTCTTCACATCAGAGTGCTATGATCTTTTCAAGCACAAAGAGGAATGTGGAGTCAGTACTTCCCTGATTTATCGATGCTGCCACTCAAATGCCTTCCCTTCCTATTTCCTGTGACACCAGTATTTCACAGCTGAAAATGCCACAGGCCTTGGCAGAACACACAGGACAGACCTCACTCAAAAGCCATTCTCTGAACTCCTCTGGTTGAGGTATATGAGACTGTTTCCAGCAGGTACTGGGTGAGATGATAGCTTGTAAATGGTCTTGGGGGGCAACACTCAGATCACATCTCCCACATCCATCAGAGCCACTGGGAAAAATGTAATGTATCTTCTTACCACAAAATGTCCTCCCTGCTGGTGCCTTGTGTGGGTTGTAGGGGCTCCAGGGATATGTGTGGAGCAGTGGTGATTTGACATAAGAACATCAGTAATGACAAAGCCCAAGCTTTGTCAATGTGGCAAAACTCTGCAAAAGCACAAGTATTTCACAGAATCAGAGAATATGCTGAGTTGGAAAGGACCCACAAGGCTCATTGAGTGCAACTCCTGGTCCTGCACAGGACCACCCCCAAGAGTCACAGCAGGTGCCTGAGAGCGTCATCAAATACTTCTTGAACTCTGTCAGTCTTGGTGCTGCGACCATTTTTCTGTGGAACCTGTTCTAGTGCCAAACAACCCTCTGCTTCTTCACAGCCCTCAGCAAGACAGGTCCTATGGGATCAGACAGCAACCAAAAGAGTGATTTTTGGATCACAGACACACTTGCATATCCTTCTCAATGATCACATTACTTTGCATGTCAAGCTCTTTCCTTTATTGGATGGCTTATCTTTTTTTGACCAATATCCTTTCCCATTTAAAATAAGACCTTTAACTTCTTATGAGAAGTATCAGACATCTGTGGAACTAAATTTTTGCAGGCATGAATGAATACAAAGTCTTCTGAGAAAGACCAAGCACAGAAGACTCTTAATAGTGAAGAGGGTGCAAGAGTGGTTACCGGCCTACATTAGTATGAACAAACAGCTTATAGCTATTTTAAAACTTGTGAGAAAAAGCTGAAGAGGAAAAACAATACAAAACCTTACATGTTTTTGTGTTTGCAAGTATAGATTGAATTCATTTTTTCTTGTATTGGTAAATAGGAGGGCATTTTCTAGGCCTGATCCTACCATTGTTCTGCCAGCTACTTTTCATGTGTGCTCACTGGAAGAAGTCTTTCAATAACACAGGAAAAATAAGGAACTGACATTCAAGGATTAAGGAACCTTTGAAGATATAGTATCATGATATAATATCTTTTTAAGATATGATCTGTGTGTTTCAGGACAAAGGGAACAGTGCTGATGGTCAAGAGCTGAAACTCAAAGATCATTTTACTCAGGAGTTGGATGGCATGGCATGCAATAGAAGATATCACTCTCTCTTCCGGAAAACGTGCTCTACAACATCAAGTAAAAAACAGAACTACAATTAAGTCTTGCTTAACAATGAATTGTATTTCTTAAACATCTGTATTTTTTTTACCAACCCAACCCATAGTATTGGCCTTGGGGGTGAATTTAAGTCAGCTCTCCCCATAGTCATTCATCACTCTTGTCTAGTATCTTAAGCATGCTGCTGTACAAAATGCCCTGTAATTTTATTACTGCTCACAAACACTGTCATTGAAAGGATCAAGGAACATGTATATGTGAAAAAGTAGAAATGAGATTTAGGGATTACAGTCACTGATCTCAGAGTGCCGGCATTCAGGGTTATGTATGAGAACTGTTTAAGCAACATTTTAAATGTGAGGTTTATTATTACTTTTTTTTTTCCCAGAACATTAACCCAGCAATTAGCATAGATTAAGAAGGGGTCCAAAGGACCTTCAGAAAGATCTTGTCTCAATAGTCCTAATTCCAGGATGTAATCTATTCAGGGTGCTCATACCTAATATCATTATAATAATATCATCTGGGTGCTAATACCTAATATCATTAGGAATGATAGATAATGAGTGATGAAAGGCAGCTGCAAGTATCAAGAGATCATTTTACTCACTATATTTCTTGTTCTGTATGTTTTTAAAATACATTTGTGGAATTATTTTCAAACAAATGATGAAAAAGCAGATAAGTATTCAAGGTAAACAATAAGAAAAACTGGAAGTCTGTCTCTGTAATGTACAAAAATACATCTTCCTGCTTTGGGGACAGATGTCTTCCTCAGTACTGGGATTACCATTCTTTGCCTTACAATAATCGAGCACCAGTCCATTCAAAACAAACATTTTAGAGAGAAAAATGACGTTTCTATACTTATACAGCATCTTTGGAAAGAAATATTTTCCACTGTGATCATTTTGACAGCAGCAGAATGAAATCGTGAGATAAAATTAGTATCTACAGCTGACCATTTGAATGAAAGGAGAAGCTACAAAAACATTCTTACAGGATCAAATAGTTAAGCATGTTTAAAATTTCTGCCATCACCACCAGGAACAATATGTGCTTTGGAAATATTCTGTCATAGCATGACAGTCTTAAAGGAGTAAAATTTATTTATCAGTGAAGTTATTTATCAAATCTGATGAAAAAACTGCTCTCCTAGTGCAAAGAAATCCAAGCTTAGAAAACAATTCCCACAATATTTTCTTCCAACACACTGTCATGGATTTTCAATTAAGCACAAATGTACATAGGCAAGCACACAGAACCTCCCAGACTCTTTCTTTAGAGGAATAAAGATAATGAACAAAGGTTATTGCTGTGCTTAATGCAATTTTCTGCCATTTGAACCTGTAAGTGAAGAAAGCCTAGGCAACAGTAGACAGAAATATTTTGATTTTTCAAATGTGAAGATCAAAAATATCATTAATCCTTTTAGTTAGGTTGTACTTTGAATAAAAAGACTATTTATCATAGTTCTAAATTAGATCTTTGTATATATGATAGGCAAAGTGCATAAAACTGTGAAAAAATATTGTTTTCTAAGTGCAATTTGAGATGCAAACTGAAGGTGAAGTAAAGCGAAGAGCAGAAAAAAGAGGGATGAGATGAGACTATATCAGATGAAATAAGAGACTATTGAAGTGAATAGAGAAATAACGAGTCTTAGATTTGAAGCTTTATATTTGATGAATTAAACTGCATCCTGAATTTACTAATTGGATGCGTACATGATGTGTTGTTGTCGGACAATGACAGATGGTGTTGCACTGATGGCAATTAATCCTAGTAGCACTTTTAAAATAGGCATAAAACTCTCTGGTTATCCCTATTTCTGCAGTCATTCCTCTGAAAACCTAGGACAGAAATAACTATGAGTTTCATTATGAGGAAGACAAAAATGATGAGTATTCAACCAGTACTAAATAGCATTTATTTTCTGTTAGGATAATAATAGCTTTCAAATAAACATATTTTGTGACTTCTGCTAACAGTGTCTACCTTTTAGTTAACACATTTAGTAAGGATAGAAAAACACTCTTAGGTTTACATCTTTTTATTCCTGTACATCTTGTACAAGGGAAAGATGTGAAATTTGAATAGTTGAAAATACAAAGTCACTGAAGAAGCAGCAGGAAAAACCTCCAATAGCCCCGTGATAGGAAAACCACATTTCTACTTGTTCTTGTTGGTGTTTTTCATCTCTAATATTACAAGCGTACAAGCAGATGTCCCTTTGGACCAACTGTGGTGTAAATTACTAAACTCGGTTACTTTGACTTCCCAGGGAATCTGCATTTGATGACACACCAAAGCATGAAATATGTGTTTGATGATCCTACTGAAGGAATCTTGGTGAGAACTCTGCTAAAACCTCATTGAACTATTCCATGGTGATTTAGGTCACTTAAAAATAGACACAAGGAAGATCAAAGTTCAGTGCTGCACATGCTGACTCACCCTTTTTTTCTCACTTAGTAGTTGAAATTGATGGAAAGCTACATGTGGTTGACTTCCATCACTTGCAAGTCACATCTGAAAACAAATTTACACATTGTCATAGTGAGGAAAAAAAAAAGTTGCTAAGATTATTTTACACATTTTTGTACACCCCCCCCCTATTTTTTTTTCTTTCAGGCAACTGAATTTCAGTCAAAAGCCATAAAGAATGTTATGGAAATTAGTCTGCTTAATCAACAAGTTTGGTTCTGCCACAGACTTCCTAGAGGTTCACATATAGGAAGCACTTTGCAAAATAGGGACAATAATAAATAAAATAATAACCCTTTCCTTTGTATTTCCTAATCTGTGACGTAACCCTGAAGAAAGGAGTACTGAAGCAGAGAGTAACTAGGCTGTATAAGATCTTAGTCTAGGTCTTTAAGTATTCTGGGATACATCTCTTAGAAAAAATATGTCCAATATCTAAAATTTCCTCAGCTCAGTTAATGCCTCTGGAAATCACGCTAATTAAAATAACTTAAAAATTTATTTAAGTTTTATGATGTGAAATCTCTAAGTCAGAGTAGTTGTGGTGGTTTGGGCTAGGCCTTCCTTGGTGACCAGTTTGTAACCAAGGAAGGGTCCAGATTTACCCAGTATTCCCTACGATTTTTACGTAAGCCAGATTATAAGAAGAGAGGAGGAGAGGCCTTCGCTCTCTTTCCTTCCGGCGGCTTGGAGGTGCAGGTTCCCTGCTGTTGAGTCTGCCGTGTTGGGGAGCGAGGCCTGGTTAGGCCTTGTCGACCTTGGGAGACAGAGGTTGCTGGCGATCGTTCCGGAGCGACTCTCAGTTGTCCCAGGGGAGTAGTGAGCTATTTTTCTTTGCTAACTTTTTAGTTGTTAGATATTGGGTCTTGGGATATCTATATATTTTATTTTAGTTTTGTTCCTTTTTTCCTTTCCCCCTTCCCTTTCCCTTGTGAAATTGTATATAAGTGTAAATATATTTATATATCTCACTTTGGTTGTCTCTCTCTCGTTTCGGGTTTTTCTTAGTTTTTTCTCCCTCTTCTCCCTGAGGTTGGGGGGGGGAGACTTCTGGTGGTAAGGTTTGGAGACTTGGCAGGGAGCCAGCTTCAAACCATATCAGTAGTCCATACAACTGAATGAAGAATGTATGTTGGTTGATTGCAAAATAGGTGGGAGGAAAAAAATCATCTTGTTTTTACATAGAAGATAAAATAGATCGAGATTTCTTAAAATAAGAAGCTGCATTCTTTGCTCTTTGACACTGTTTTCAGTCCCACTGAAGTCTCATGCTGCAGCAATCCATACATACAAACTGGACTTGAAGCACAGATTTAAGAGTGCAGATGAATATAGGATGACAATCATAGGACACAACAGTAACATTGCTTGCCCTCAGAGCATAAGAAAAAGAGAATGAAAAGACTTTTTTTCCTTTACTTTCTTAAGGACCAGAGTCATAAGGTTCCAACATTATTCCAACCATCTAATTTATTGACTAGTGACCAATGCCAAAAGGTCTGAATTATCGCTTCTAGAGCAAAGGTGTGAAATAATTCTTATAGACAGTGAGAGAGGAAGATTGTTTATTACTTGACCTTGAAAAGTATTGGCCTAAATCTGTATTTTCGTTTATACTTCTTTGTTTGAAATGCCTAATATTTCCCAAAAGGCAATATTGGATCACACATGAAATAAGCAGTGTCATTTAATACTTTTTCTTTCTTATCAGAACTGCTTCTTCTAGGTGATGGTAGACTTACAGCAAATCAGCAGGATATTAATTCTTTTTTTATCTCATGCATTGTAAATTCAGGTCATATGTAGCGGTTTGCACCAGGAGCCTCTTATTACCATATTGATTAGTAACATTTTATAGTTTTCGACATTGTTCTATATGGAACCTCTGAAAAAAAATTGCTGTTTTACAACTCTGTATACATAATCCATATGATAATAACAAATAAATGTATGCAAGCATCTGGGATAAATCTGCCTGAGAAGCCTGGAACATTTTGACATAAAGATACTAACGACTCTCAGAGTGAACCGAGATCTTGCAATGCCTAGTTAATCTTTGTTACTCTTGCAGGTGAATTTCTGGCTACCACATTTTGGTATAGAAAGTATTTATTTCAATAGAAATTTAGAAAATAATTATTATTATTAGAGCTAAAAAGAACCCACGTAAAGTAAAACATTGCCAGAAGTTTGCTATTTGTGCATAGTGAAAGAATATTGGACTTGTAAAACAAAACTCCTAACCACTTCTAAAGGTCATAAAATCATAGAATATCCTGAGCTGGAAGGGACTCATCAGGATCATCAAGTCCAATCAAGGTATCATCTTGGATAAACTGTGGAGCATTTTCCTCCAACCAGTTTCTTTCAGAGCCCCAAAATTTCAATTTATTTCTTTGCCTATGTGTTTTCAGTGGTGTGTTTGAGACACCTTATTCCCCAGAGGTGATCTACAATGCATTTGAAATTACCTCAGTTCCGCATTTACAATATGTTTATGGACATAATGACTTTACAGTAACTTATAAACTTTTTTGGTGAAAAATCGGCAAAAGGCAATAAATATCTTGATGAGACATAATTCATGAGACAGGAGTTAAATCACTCCTGTCATCTATCTAAACACATTCCACCACAGTGTAATACATTGACATATCACGTGTCTGTGCTACTTAACAAACAAATCCAAATATCTTCTGAATCAGAGCAAATACTTTACATTTCCACTATGCAAACCATCATTGCTAAAGCAATAAGCTAGATGCATAAGGAGCATGGATTTTCATTAATACTAGAGATACAAAAAACATTTAGACTGTTAATATTATTCCTACTGATATTACCAGTCACTTGTCAATTGAAACAATAACCTGTATTTCTCCAAACCAGTCATCCAGGAGAAAATAAAACCAATAAGCCAGCAAAGTTAAGACTACCAGATCATCAGAACTTTTGTGGCCTAGAAAATGTACAACCAGAACATCTGCCTCTACTCTTGGATGTGCCCAAGATTTTAGAAGCACTTGTTTTATCATTGTATTCATCTATACAACAATAAAGACTTTAGAGACCACTCTATAAAGGTGGTTCCCTGAGTATTTGGAGGATGAGTACCTTCATCAGGCACTGCTTTTGTGTGAGAAGTCATTAAATAAAATACAACCAACACAGGGACTACCACTGATGAGTTACTGAGCCCTGTTCTTTTTCATTTCCGTATAAACCTTCAGTTCTTTTCAGAGCAGTAGCCTAAAGGAAGGGTAAAAGAATGGACATTTAAACATTGCCCAGAGCCTGGGCTGCTCAGCGGACAGAGAGAGCTGGGACTGCTGCCAGTGTGCAGGGCTGAGGCCATGCAGTCCCATGGGACACCCTAGAAGATGACAGAGGAACCTGCTTCTCAGTCCCCAGCAGCAGCCACAGGATGCTAATGGGATGTGGGCATCTTACGCCGAGCTTGAGAGGACACTGAGCTGCCTGTGGAAGGGGCCTCATCTGCCTCTTCCCATTAACTCTTTGGAACTGAATTACTTTTACGGGCACTTTTTGATATATTGTTTTGTCTAAATAGACAGTCCATAATGTTTCGTTGGCTATTGACTGTTTGCTGTCCTCAAACAAACATTTAGTTCAACTGCACATAGCACCCAGAAAGAGTCTCACACCCATAAAATACAACCCAGTGCTGGGGGGTGGCCTGTTATGTGCACCATTTTGCTAGACTGTACAGTTTTCTACTAAGAAAAGACAATCACTTAAGGTCCTGGGGCTATCCCAAGTGTTACGGAGAATCCTGATTAATGAGCAGCTTACTAAAAAACAGACTCTTCCTGAGGAGCTGTCAAGCCCTGAAGAATTGTGCCAGCACTTCTTAGCTGTGCCCTCCACACCTCAGTGAGTGCAAATTGTTCAATTACTCTTGTATATTTTTGGAGGCATAGGAGGTTTTGGAGGCATAGGAGGTTTTTTCATCTTTCACAGTGGACCTGTCAAGATGTTTAGTTGTCAAAAAAGCGCCTTTCCCTCTCCCAGGATATTTATTTTTTTCAAATAAAAGTTATATAAGAAATGGCCTTCCTTTCCATTTTGTGTCATAGCTGCTGCCTGTGTGTTGTGCACAGACTTTGATAAGGAGCCCACATCCAGAGTCTGGTACAGGTGTCCAGCTAAGCCTGAATGGGGCAAGACTGCAAGGGAGGAAAATGTTGTCTTTCTCATTCTTTCACCAGTCTGATAGAAGGTGGTGGGACAGCCATTTTCTCCTCACCATAAGTTATAACAATGCCAAGCCTGCTTTTGTCTATATTAGCTGGCAGAACTTCTTTGGGGTGATTATATTGGTGAGCAACAGGTGAGCTCTAATAAAGTCTAATAAATCTATTATATAAGTAAATAAATAAATAATAAATAAATAATAAATAATTCTATTAAATCCAATAAAATTTAATAAATTTAATAAAATCCATTGCTTCTAGCATGCCCCTTTGTTAAGGTACAGAGTTGACTAAAGCCAAAACCTAATAACATTTAGGATATTTTTAGGACTCATTGTAGAAGTCCATGCACAAGATAAGGACAAGTAGGAGTTTTATAGGACTTCCTTATATCAGCAGCAGTCAGCCTGTATGACCATATAAATCTTGTGTCCAAAATCTTCCTGAGGGCACGATTCAAAACATAAAATGCTGTACCTCAGATAACAGAGAGGATTTGCTGTGGGATGATGCTCATTCAGGGATACACAATAATGCAACCCTGCCATGTCCTGCAGTGGCAACAGGGAAACAGATGGATTATTGAGAGATACTGCTTTGGCCTTCATTTCTCTCAGAGTAGGAGGACCTGCTTGCTAACACAGTGAAACAATAAATCTGAAGTGTATGTACCCTAAACTACTCAGATTGCATAATAATGAGTTTGGATATTGACTACTAGTTTAAAAAAATTAAAGATGAGGTAATGCAACTAGTCCAGCCTATTATAATACTAATTTTTTAAAAATTAAATTCAGGGTTCATTGGATTTTCATCTTTATTTCAACTGCTGTTCACCCTCATTTAGCCACTTGACAGGGGTGCTGGGCCAAGACTTCTTTCTGAAATTAATGGCTTACGGCCACAGGCTTCAGAAGATGAAAAATTTTTCTTACTCTGTGACTGAGCACTCAATTGGACTCTCAGTTACACTTGTATAGTTCAATTAGAATGGGGATAATCAAGAAAAAAGCATCAACGATGCTTCTACAACCTTCAGTCATTTTGCTTTTGATACAGTGTACTGAAATTATTTCAATGTAGAAGAAACTACAGACCCGTGTAATTATTAACTATCTATTCTGAGGTAGTCAATAGTCAAGACTTGGTGTATCCACAGCAGACAGTGCATTTTCCTCCAGATTTTTAAGAGCTTTTAAGCTATGTGAATTTTTTGATTACAAATATCCTGTGAAGGCAGCTCAAACCAGTTGCCTTAAGATGATCTTCATAACTACTCAAAGGAATAAATTAATGATTCCAGGGTCGTCTTGCATTCTCAGCATATTTTATAATAAAGAAAAATCTAAGGTCAGGACAAGAGTCAATTTCAACTTAAAAACAACCCAGCCTTGCTGTTGAAATTGGCTCTTTT